TATTCGCGCAAGAAATCCATTCCCAATATGAGCTGTTTACAGCACTCGTGGAGAATGACGGGGGTGGCGACAAAGGTGGAACCAGCAATGAAGAGTCAGGCCGTGCACTTTCCAACCGGTGTCATCAACTGACCTCCTGCAGTTCTTATATTGGGTCCCTGCCATGGCATTTTCACCTTCCTGAGTCTTTCGGCTAGCTGTAGGCTTATTATAGAAAAGTGGGAGCCAGTGTCCACAAGTGCCGTCACTTGGGGGCCGTCAATGTGAACGACGAGGTCAGCGCTGATAACGTCGGTTACGTCGGCAGTTGTCTCATTCGTCAAATTAGTCGTTGCTGTCGTCTTCTTCGGTATCGATGGCTTCGAGCTGTCACTTGTCTGCAATGGGGGCTGTTCGGAATTTCGAATATTGGCAACCCCACCCCCCGAGGTCGCTGCGTCTAGTTTCCCCGTCGCGGGCTAGGGGACCTGCCCCTGGTGACGTCGGCAAAACTGCGACGATTAGGTGAACTGGGCCGCGCAGGAGATGGAGAACGTGATCTGGGCATTACTGGATTCTGCGGCGGTGTGTTCACATGGGCGTAGTTGTACATGCGTTGATCGTCGTACGCAACGTAATCAGGGTAGCGAGGAAATCTCGAGTACTGAGCGTCGCGATAACGGCAAACTCTGTAGACGTGCCCAGCTTCGCCACAATGAAAGCATACCGGTCGACGGTCAGCGGTACGCCACAAATCGGTTTTCCGACGCTGGTAGGTAAGTGGAGACTCACTATTGGGCCACGTTGTGGGGCGACGTTGTGGGGCATGTTGGTTATACGGCATTCGTCTTGTCGGAGGAATCGGTGAGGTTGCGAAAGTGGTCGGTGCTGACAGTGGCTCTGTTTGCAGGGTTGGTGGTGGTCCAGTCATTGGGGTCTGCTGTGCTGAAGGAGCGACGACGGGGCGTCGGACTGCATCAGCATAAGTAAAATGTCGTCGCACACCATTATAGCCGGATGAGGAGAGAGCATGGCGGACCTCATCCCGGACAACATCAGCGACAAAAGACAATGCCGGCGTCGGTTCAGTTGCTGGAATTAAACCAAGCTGCCGAAGCTCCTCCCTCAAAATCTCCCGGATGACTTCCCGCAGAGGCCTGTCGTTGTCGCAGAGGCTCGCCGCAGTCGTGACAGGGCTACTCGCTCCAACGTTGACCGGGTTCTGCTGGCGGTACCGTTGCTGTAGGGCCCGTTCAATAGCTGTGGCTTCTTTCGTGAACTCAGCTACTGTTGTGGGCGGATTTCTCACAAGCCCAGCAAACAGTTGCTCCTTCACGCCTCGCATTAGATACCGGAGCTTCCTGTCTTCCGGCATCTCGGGATCCGTCCTGCCGAAAAGACGGGTCATGTCCTCGGCGAACATAGCGACGCTCTCGTTTGGTTTTTGAATTCGAGCTTCCAAGAGACGTTGCGCATTCTCCTTTCTGTCAAGGCTACTGAAGGTGTCAATCAGCTGGTTGCGGAAGTCATCCCACGTAGCCATGCTTCTTTCCCTGTTAATGTACCACGTCTGGGCGTTGTCTTTCAGGTAGAAGTACACATTCGCGAGCTTGTCTTCTGGGGTGGCCCACTGGTTGTACTTCGCGCAACGTTCGAACTGGTCTAGCCAGTCTTGTGCATCTTCATAGGTCTCACCATGAAAGCAGTCTGGAATCATGGGATTCTGAAGTGTCATGTGCGATGTAGCTGCAGTGGCCATGGTGGTTGAAGGAGGCAAGCGATTGCTGGCAGTTTCTGGAAAGGGATTGAGCTCGGGAGCTAGGCCTCGCAGACGGCGGCTGGAACGGTGGACTGGTGTGTCGACGGGTGGTAGTGATTCCGAGCTTGAATGTCGGGTCCGCGAAGGGGTGCCAAGCATGAAGACGTACCCAGCACCTCCACCAGTGTGACGACACGAGATTGACGAGCACGCAAAGCGCCTCAAACCAATACGATTTATCGATCGCAGGAAACAGACTGCAACGACTTCTTCGTCTTTTACCCTCGGCCAAAGACACTCGCGCTCCTTCGTTGTCCTCACCACTGGCACATACGCGCGTCAATATATATATATATATATATATTATATATATATATATATATATATATATATATATATATATATATATATATATATATATATATTCATTTATTTATTCCTTTATTTATTTATTTATGTATAGTGTGTCTGTGTGTGTATGTGTGTGCGCGTGTCTATAAAGGCGCATTGAAAATGAATCTTGCTCTCTCATTTCAACCTGGAGCTTGTAGGTAAAACATTCATGTCTATGTTCGTACTCTTCCGTTCGTGCATGACCTTCACAACTACATTCATTCAGGAAGCGCTCTTTATCATAGCCATCAAAAAATACACCTTTGTTGTCTGTTTTCAAGTAAGTATCTATCGCTCTCAATCTCGGCCAGAAAATTTACTTACCTATACTAGGATCATGCGCTGGAGCTCTACCGAGGAAATGCGCCTGTCCATCGCGCTCATTTGCGGCATGATTTCTTGTAAGATGTCCTGAAGGGAAGGCGCTACATTAGTTGTTGGTTGCTGCTCGAGCCTTCCGAAAGTCAGCTACTATAGAAAACAATAACTTTATATAAAAATATGTACACTTATCGTAGTACCTTATCTATACCACTACGACATGGTATAGAGAAGCTGCTTCAAGTGTCCCGAATATTGCCTGTCGACAACCCAAAACCCAACTTCGAGCACATCGTCACAATATCAAGCAGAGTTATTCTTGAATGTCATCTCAGAAATTGTCATGCTTTAATAACTTCCCCAATGCACTAAGAGAATGCGGCCGTCCGAATGTGCTTCATCCAGAGTGGACATTGATCAAATTTCACATTTTTTCCCTGCAACTCTGATGTTTTTGTCAGTAATTTTACAGCGAACATCCTTCGACCTGCACACAACAGTGGTCAAAGGCCGCCATTCGTAAAATGTCCACCCAATAAATAGCTTTATTATGTGCCTTATTGCGCATTTCCTTCTGTGTTTTACGTCCGCGATAGTTAACTAGCCACACCCATCTGTCACTTCCTTGAAAGTGATTGTAAGTGTAAAGAAATTTCTGTGGTTCTGATAAGCAACGTAAAAATTTCCGTTCATTGGCAACAGAAATTGGGGAATACCTAAACGTAAAACAATTTTGTGGCTTATTTATTCCTATCTCCCGACTTCAAGGTCATGTCCCGGCAATAATAGCATGGCCAGAAATCCGGAACCTTTATAGACCAGCAAGAGTGGTTGAAACGTTCGGTTCAAATAAGTTCCGTTGCGATGCGTATAACTTAAGGTGGTGTCATTTGCCTAAAACGAGGCGTGCATGGACCCTCATTGCAATGCAGCGCTAAATCTTCAGTATAGGGCGACCTTCCAGACGGGACATATATATATATATATATATATATATATATATATATATATATATATATATATATATATATATATATATATATATATATATATATATATATATATATATATATTATATATATATATATATATATATATATTGTTCTCTTACCCTCGTGTTAATACATCTGTCAGGCTGCCCTATGTACACGTGACCACACATCAGAGGAATACTGTACCCCATACATTTTTTCGCAGATTTAACAAATTGGAGCTTGTGTTTAATGCTGTATTCTTTCTATACACCGCAAACTTTGTCACATTTCTTTTATTGACCAACGCGCACACTCCTCCGATTTGTTTTTGGTCGGAAACGCCACCTTAACACCGTAACTTCCAGCTATCTTTTTGCCCGTGCGCATAAAAGATTGCTACCACCTTTGAGCTCCAATCAATATGTCCTCCCGTTTCCAAAAATGGTTTCCTTTACTGTTTAAGCTACTTTATTAGCCTGATGCCTGTACCCAGCATTATATACAACGAATACCCTGCGTCCCGCCGCCGAGCAACCTGTTCTTGAAACAAGATATGAGCAGTGAGAATTCACAATTTTAACAAACCTGGGTAAAAACCATTTGTCGCGAGCAAATTACATTTTAAGCGTAGAAAATGGGAGTATAGTTAGGCTTACAAAGATCGGTGAACTGAGTTGTTTTTTTTTTTTTAACGAGCATTGTTCCGGATATTGCGAAAGTCTATCACTTCTGACCGGCATGCATTCGCTCTTCATGTTGTACACGTCACCCGACGCGGTGACCTTATGGTCCGGCAAAGTTACGTCACAGCCGGTAGGGGGCATACGCACTAAGCCTTGATCCGCAAGGGAAATACACTATCGTGGCGCGGCGCCAATTCGAAGGTTCGTTCATACAGGCCGCCCAGCGGTGGTGTGAAGGACGTGTTCCGGAAGTTTGTAGACATCCATGTTGCCGTACAGATCTCGGACACAGCGATTGCAGCGAGTTTCCTTGCGCAAGAAAAGAAACTCGTTTGACTTCCAAAATGATGACCTCCAAAATGACAACCTCCAAAGCGTGGACTTCCGAAATGGCGACGCCAACGCTAGTGATTCTCGCGTATGACGTCAAGTACGTACCCCTTGTCGATGCCAATGAAACGCGAGTATTTTGGCGAACAACGAAGGCTTAATAGGTGCATAGCGCACAAGCAAATATAGACTTTTTCTCTCTTTTGCTCTCACTAATCAGGACATGAGCATCCTGTACATTCTGTACAGATGAAGCGTCTCAAAAAATCTCGAAATAACAGGCGCAATGGTCTTCCCCAGTATAATATAGACCACGCTCGAGAGTAATAAAGAAAAATGTTCATTATTGAACATTAGTGTGGTTTGACGCTACAATGTCCGACCTACTGAAGTTTTACCACGATTGCTTTCAGGTCTGAAATATGCATTGAACAGTGGGTAATTACCCCCCATTCTACCACGAGTTTCACGGTTAGATTAGCTAGTTTTCTTCTAACTAAATCAGCGCTTCGGAACATCGAGTTTCTCGCAAACACACGAACAAAAAACGATAGTCACCCTTTTCTGAATCCTATGCTCTTTCGACAATCATTACCGGTGCAGAATCCATTCCTGGTTTCTTCATTACATGTCCTACCATGCTTTCTTCAACGCTGTAATTTTATTTATCAAAAAGATACACCAATTATTCAGAAAGAAAACACATAGTAGTTCATGTAAAGAAATGTCAATATCACTGGAAAACACAAGTGCACAGAAATATGCGGAACATGCACACTGGTAGGTTGTTGGATGTGTTAGTGCAGCTTCCGCGTGACACGCAAGTGTTAATTCTACTACAGCGCCACGCCCCTGCTCCACCTTCAGGTTTTGCGCCAACGATGTTCTACACATACCCTGCTTGAATATAGTTCGTGGAAACAAAATACTCCATGAATGTCATGTAGAAAGAGTAGTCTCCTTTAAGCATGCAATATTGTGTGGCCGAAGCACGGAATCGCACCAGGCTTCAATACAAGTGCATCGCGCAATCGGTGGTTGGTTTAAAGGAATAACAGTTAAGAGCGCACATGATTAATTATCTATCATTAACCGCAGCAGCAACAACAAAATATTGAGCTGCGCGTTTCGCCTCGCGGATGCGTGGTGGTTATTCCGTCAATTCGCAAGAGGAAGAACAACGCGGCAATGGGCCATTCGCAACTGTGTTCGCTGTACACATTCTCGGTTAGTTCTAAACGGTCATTGTTACTCGCAAAGACGTCCTTTTTCTTGCGGAACGGTGTTCATCGAGAAGCGAGGCCGGCCCGCGAATGACAAGGCGATGCGAATGGTGCCCGAATACGCTATATCACGTTTTGTTATCCAAGGAGAAGCTTTTTTTTTAAGATAAATTTTTCCCATAAGGTTTTTCACCACAAGTTTGTTGCCAGAAATAATCAAAAAATTTAAACACTCAATGCTGCATTGATGTGCACGATTGTTTTTTTTTTTTGTGACTTCCATCTAACTTTACCACGCCAACGATCGCTAGGTAGGCTGTCTAGCAAACACCACGATCAAGAATATGTGGGGTTTAACGTCTAAAAACCACTATCTGATTATGAGAGACGCCATAGTGAAGAGCTCCGCAAATTTTGACCACCTGAGGTTCTTTAACGTGTACGCAAATCTGAGCACACGGGCTTACAGCATTTTTGTCTGCATCACCAAACCTTTCAATTAGGTTGTGTTATTCAATACAACGCTAGAAGAACAAGCCACCCCAACAGGTGTTGTTGGACACCATTCATAAGTATTCGATACATATACAAATTATAGTCATAATATTGTTACGTCAAAACTGACACGAGGCCTATAGCATCGACACAGATGGAGGACAGCATGCACGACGGGCCGACAAGCCCTCTTCTTCGTCGCCTTCTGTGTGCAGATAGTCTGATCGCTGATATGTCAACCACGTATCCACATAAACAATTCACAAATCACCATCTTAGCTCACTGCCTATGGCATTCCACTGCCGAGCTCGGGCATGCACTTTCCGTTTAGTCTGCAGTGGTCACATGTTCATGGAGGCGAAACACAGCAGCCGAAATCATGTCAGTCTTATTTTTATTTTTTTACAGAACATGCTCCTGGCAGCTTGAGTAGGGAAAATCTGGAGCGCTACCTATCATTACAGACGGTCATTCGGTAAGACGTATCGCTGGACACCGAATTATGGTTACACAAGAGACATTCTTGGAAACATTTTGGCGCGCACACTCTGGTCGAAAAAAAAGGATGCCAGAAGACAAACGGGCACGTCTATCGTGTGCACGCCGAAATGTTTCCAAGTATGTCTTCAAACCAACTCGCACAACTTTCCATGTTTTTATACTAGGCAGTATATTTTTTACGTGCTCGTTATCCTGAACACCGAGCATCGTTTAATTTCTCCCGGCAGTCAAAATACAGTTGATATTGCGGAGAATCCAACACACACTTGTGTTTAGCAGCGCAACGACATAGTCACCGAGATATACTACGTATGACAGCTCGAGATCTTTCAATCGTACTGTCATTTTTGAGACACGGCGGCGTCCGCGGAAGCTTCACTACACGTATCTGTGTGAATTGGCTGCGCCAAAAGCTAATGAAGACAAAGAAACCATGGTGGCACTTAGTATTTAGCCTTTATTTGGGTATTGATTCTAAAGCAAAAGACAGTGAATTATGAAGAACAAAAAACTACAAATCACCTTCATTGCACACTGTACCCACGACCTCAGCCTCCCGCGAAGATTCGTTATCTGCTGGCGTCATATGCATGCGTTTACCGGAACAAATGCCAATCCGTACTGATCTTCTTCATTCATTGAAGTGCTCCACTGTTTATAGCAAAAACACATTGTTCTCGCTCGTGAGATGTGAACTCAAGTACAACTGACTTGGGTTCTGAAGCCTCTTTTGCGAGCATTTCGGTGTTACTATGCTATTTTCTAACAAATGCAGCGTTTTCAATTGCCATGAATTTATGGTAGTTCCTTCGTTTCTAGGAAAGTATCTTACCCTTTTTTCCCGTATATGTAGCTTTGGTTAAACCACAGCGAAGTGTTATCGCGCTTTGTGACAACAGTCTTTATACACCGTGGCTCGAGTTCATCAATGTAACGATTATAACTTCTTCTTGCCAAAACTATAGGTTGGCCAGTACTGAAAAACTGAAACAAACACATGTATTTGAGTTACTGAGCACATGCGACTACATCTCAACAGGAAATGATAAAAATGCTCAAATATATATAGGATGCATCAAAACACGAAAGAGATACATTTTCTTCGATAAGCGTGTAAAGGCTACTTACTCTATTTAGTAGTTATTTCTGCCTGGTCTATAATGCACGTAATGGCCTGGTGTAGCATAATGTACATTATGATAATGAACATTATAGAATATACCAAGCGCTCTGCGGGCAGCACCGTCACAGCGGAAGCTGAAAAAGCTGCATTTCTAGATTATATAGCGTTAAAGAACTCGTTTCGAAGAAATTGCAGCTTACGTGGAGGCACGATCGAAAAACCATAATCATGATGAAATATCGAAAAGGAAAAATTTCTGGCTCCAAGTGACAATCGCAACCGGAAGATTTGCTTGAAAAACAGGTGTTATTCGACACAGCAACGCGTGTGCTTGGAAATAGTTAAAATTACTTCCTCTTTTTGAAAATTCAGAGAAAATAACGTTTACACTTTACAAACACACGCGTCCTATATACATGATTCACAATACCACATGCAATATCGCAGTATTATTGGGTGATACAAGCATGCGATGCATTGTCATTGGGTGTCAAAACGTGTGATTATCGTAACTTCATGGTTTGAAGCCGCCCCCCCCCCCCCCTTACAAAAGGCACACTCGTTACAGCGCGTACTCTCTTAAGACCACGTAGTGGGTGCATAGCAAGTTAGAAAAGATTGCACACGCATACTAGCTCGCTGTTTAAAGCGAGCTACACATTAACACAGAATTCAGCCATGTGCGAAATCTGCTCTGACATAAGCCACTTTTAAATTTATTCATTACATTGTAATAGTCCGTCATTGAAACTTCTCGAGTGATTTCATACAATAAAAAAGTATACACCAAGTGGTTGAAGTACGCACTAGGGACAGGATACCGCTCTTGCGCCCAACTCTTCAAGAAGAAGATTAAAGGTCCCCCAATTTTTTAGACATTCTCAGCGAAACTGCTACAAGCAGACTTGCACAGTACCCGCTACGCAATAAGCCATCATAATCTTCCTGCACAGAAACGTGCACAATTCCATTATAGTTTTAGTCATTCTTCAAAGAAGCGTGGTATCCGCTACGCTCTTGCAAGGCCTTTGGTGCACTTTCTTGATGCTTCTGCTGATGACGACGAATTATAACTGAGCCCTCTGTAATCCCCTCTATCTAATTACTCGTGTTTGGCCAATCCCCTACAGTAGGTGCGAGCCATGCTTTTGAGCCATCATCATCATCTTTGTAATGGGGTTGGAAGCATTCAGTCACCGACTCGTAACGCAATTCGCAATATGAGACGCTTGAGGGTAGTGTTCATTACTTTACTCTTCTGAAATACTCAATTACACATGTTAACGCGATTCCTTAAGAAACATGAAGCTTGCATTAGACCAGTTTGCAGCAGAGTTTCAAGTGCAAGCGTGGCTACATCACATTTGCCTGCAGTACTCCGGCAACGCAAGCGCAAAAAAGTTCTCCTTGGCAGTACGACCAGTGCCATGCTGTTCCCATATGTGCATAGGCAATAAAGAAAGAAAATAAAAGGAAAGGGTCGCTGAACATAATTTGGCATATTAGAATTACCTTAACGTACACAACACCGCACACGTACAGACTAGGTTAGGTTAGATATTGTTAGGTTATGTTAGGTTACTGGCGTTGATTCTATGAAGAAAGGAAAGAAAAAGCAAGGGTGGCTCCATGGTAGGATACTGGGATTCCACGCAGAGGGCCCGGGTTCAATTTACATTTTACCCTGAGTGTTCTTGTTTACTTCGCCATCTTGTCTCTTATTTCGCACAATAGTGGTTATGCGCACTAGCGGCGGCGGACAACTACGGCGCCCAAGTCAGCCCTTGTGTGGTGATCTCGTAACAGGTTTCACTGTGAAACAAGAACTCAAGCGATTACTGACCTCCTGGAGAACTGAACATCGTCTTTTCCTTTTCAGTCAATGTATTCGTTCCCCTGCCTTGCTAAAGCAGAAAACGAGACTATGCACTGCCTCCGAGATCGGACTTATGGTAGACTATCTGCAACACGCGTGGTTATGCAGCTATAGTTGCCAGATCTTTCCGAGCTAACAAGCAAATAATCATTTAAAAAAGCCCAAAAGAGACGGACACATTATCAATTTTCCTACTCTTGAGAATGTCGATACGGTTTGAGCCGGGTCACACTATGGACAAAAGAAGAGGAAAATTGTTCGTTCGGCCTATGGGCGCCTTCATGGCCTATCATCGCCTGAACTCATCTGTAAATGAGCATAACTAAACTCAATTTAGCCATAACATTAATTTCAATTATAATAAAATATGTTGATCAAATACGAATGGAAGTGGAAAAAATTACTTTATTTTGTAGAGCGAAAATATGCGCAACTCTAAACAAAAGAACATTTTTATTTTTTAACATTGTCTCGAGGGTAGTCTTCATTCGGTTTAATGCACGGTTGTCAGTCCATGGTTAACATTACCTGTTGATACCCCCCCCCCCGCGTATGTTTGACTTTAATACGCAACTACCCAAGGTCATCGACACACGCGCTCTTCGCGAACTTGAACACAAATTCTGGCGAGCGACTTGAAAGTTCTATAAGAGACTCGTCGAAAGAACGAGCCCAAATCCAGTTATTATAAACGGAACCGGCCACTCTATTTTGCAGTGCTTCAAGTATCGGCTCCCCTTTCAAAAAGCACCGATATTATGTGACGACGAACTCACTTGACTATAAGGTGTGTGAAGTTTTGATGATGTCATATTGTCACATCACCGCTCGATGGTGATTTCGTTTTTTTTTTTTTTTCGCATCGTTCATGCTGGTGCAGCCAACTGTCACTTTTCATGTTTCATAAGGCATCTAAAGCTTTAACCTGAAAAGACGGCTGATATTCCTCCTATCTCGCTGAAAGAGACAACTACATGGCATGATTCTTTAAACAATCGCTCCAACTTCTAGTACACATTTTCGGGTGCTTTAGCATGCTTTCTCTCAAGGAGCTTCCCGTTTAATACAAGGACGCCATGTGAATGAACGTAGAGCCTAAACGCACAGTTATGGATCAGTTTTCGGTGCACGTGACCTAGGCTACCTCTCTCTCTCCTTTCCTTTTTTTGAGGAGCTTACGAAGATCTAATATGCATAGTATACAAGAGATGAAGATGACGGTATGACGATTCCAGGAGGCGTTAATTTTCCTTCGAAGTTTGAAGACGTACATTAAGTTGAAATCAACAATTCGAAAGGAAACCGTCTAGTCGGGAAGAAACATTATAAAGTAAAGGAAGTGTACACCGACCAAATAAAAGCTTATGTGGAAAACGACTTTCCAGCTTCTATCCGGAAGCCTTGTTCACAGTGAAGCCAAACGACTAGAAACGTAATTTTCTTTCAAGCTTTTATGTCGTCGGTGTACTTCCTTCCCTTCATTACGTTCATTAAGTCACTCGCAAAAACGAACGTTTGATTATAGCGGACCAGTAGAGTCAGCTTCCTTCAGTGAAATCGCAACATTTATTGTTAAGGCCATACAAAAAAAATCACAGTATATCCACGAAGTGAATGACGACGAGTGGAGCAAAGCAAACGGACGGACGCACGGAAGGACTGACGGACGCTTCGCCCCACTCATTGTCATTCACTCCGTGTATATGCTGTGACACCGTTTTAAAACCTTGAAACTGGCGACTACTGCTACGGCGACGACACGGGACATACGACCTACGGCCTAAGAAGCTTCGCCTCTAAAAAACCTGGCTCCCTTGTCTACCTGGAGAATGAGGGCTAGTCAAACTAAGTGAGATAGTGTTCAATTTATTTTTTTTTCATTCTTTCATTCTTAAATCGCGTTGCGGAATGTTCTCTCCTAATAGTTACGTTTACAAGCCTGGACTTGTGCCCACTCGTTCAGACTCAGATCCGGCCATGCATCCGATGAAGTGACACTTTGGCGAGTGCGAGTCCGAGTGAATCCGGTTGAGTCCGGTTGAGGTGATTATTGGTGGTTCTGGGTACAAGTGAACTCTTAGCACAAAATGGGTGTGTTCCAATACTGACCGTAGATGGCTAAACGAATGGCGGCCATCTTAAGTCCGATTCCTCATCTAACGTAGCCGGCAAAACATTGTTATGGGTCCAAAAACCACCATATGATTATGAGAGACGACGTAGTGGAGGGTTCCGGAAATTTCGATTACCTGGGGGGTCTTTAACGTGCACCTAAATCTGAGCACACGGGCATACAACATTTCCACCTCCATCGGAAACACAGCCGCCGCAGCCGGGATACGAACCCGCGGTCGGCGTGTCAGCAGCCGAGTACCTCAGCCACTAAACCACAGCGGCGAGTCAAATAGTTAAAATTACTTCCTCTGTTTGGAAATTCAGTGAAAATTACGTTCATACTTTACAAACGCACGCATCCTGTATACATGCTTCACAATACGACATGGAATATCGCAGTGATATTGGGTGATACAAGCACGCATTGTCATTGGGTATCAAACCGTGTGATTATCATAACTTCATGGTTTGAAACCACCCCCCACCCCCACCTTACAAAAGGCACACTCGTTATAGCGCGTATTCCCTTAAGACCACATAGTGGGTACATAGCAAGTTTGAAAAGATTGCACGCGCATACTTGCTCGCGCATACTTACTCGGCTGCTGACCTGCGGGTCAGCAGCCGAGTACCTTATCCACTAGACCACCCCGGCGGGGCAGCCAGCAAAATAGACAGCTCCGAGAAGACCGCATCGTAGACAAATAAGATAAAGGCTACTTTGCTGTCTAAACAAGATGGTCTCATCGCATTTTAAGAATTCTATACAACCACTACGGAGTTTGTAACTCCGTTTGGTCAAATGCCCTCGATGAAGTAAAACAAAAAATTGAGAACGCCCGGGAATCCGACTTCCCGCTTCTTGAGCGGAGGTACCTTGCCCAGACTGTGTTCTGCGGTCGCATTTAGTACCTTTCTCACCTGGAACAGCCGCTTTTACGCATCGTGAGGTCATTGCAGTCGGCCTTGTGTTCCTTCTTTTGGTCTGGTGGCACTGAGTTAGTCTCTCGTGCGGCGTTAGGACAGCAGCGTTCCCAGGAAGGTTTTGCTTTCCCTTCGGTATCAATACGCTGCCGGCTATTGGTCCTGCGCTTCCTGTGCGCCTCGTACAAGGAGAGGAATCCCCCGCCCGAACTCTGGCATATTATTTTCTAGGCACTCACCTTCGGTATTTATTGCCTAATGTGCGCCTTGATCGGGGCCCACAATCAGTAGTACTCCCTTCGTTTTATGCAACAGCTGTCGCGTTTTTTCGTCGTATCCAGTCGACTTGCCCTGAGTTAGATGTGTTAGACAATCCTATCGTTGACACAACAGCTGCTTTGTTGCTCCCGTTAGTTCCTCCGGCACGCCGCACCCGCTCTAGTCGTCTGTCTTGGAGCACGCTGACGGCATCATTTCTACCTGGCCACCTCCGGGACTTCATGTGGCGGCTTGGGTGGGGCGTTCTTCCTACCCTTGACCGCCTAGAAAGGTGGAGAATGGTCCAGTCATCAACATGTCCGAACTTCTCCCTACGGGAAACAAATCAGCATGTGTTAAGGGAATGTGTCGTTGCTCGTGTCTTCTGGAGGGCTGTGCATGCAGGATTTCGTGGCCTCGGAGTAAACCGCTTTGTTTCTTTTGGACGTTGTTCTCAAGGCCGCTTTGCTTGCCTTCTTATTGTTGCTGGTGCCTACTGTCTTTGGCGTAACTGTTGTGAAGCTGTTGCAGCAGGTCGTCGCCGCTGTGCTCTCTTCCCGATTTTGGAGCGACTGTACAAAGAAATACTATCTGTTTTGCAGGAGGAACTCTTCTTTCTGGGTGAGGAGGAATTCCTTCGACACTGGTCCTGCCGTTTTGTGTTCGTCTGTGAGAGACGTGTAAGGCTTGTTTTCGGGCCTGCCTGGTATTGGTAGGTTAATTTTTATTTAGTACTCGTACAAATACCTTGTAGATAATATGTAAATATCTGACACATAGATCTCTACATTTCATTTGTGTGTTCTTCGTTTACCATGTATTGTGCATATGTAGACTGTTTTTGTAACAATTCCTGTGTAGTTGTGTATGTTAAGTTCCGTTTACTTATGTAAACATATCTATTTGTAACAACTTTTGGTGTGTCTGTGGATGTTGTGTTCTGGCGCAATGTTCGGTTGGATTGTAATTGATGTTCACTGTCTGTGAGAATAAATTTCTCTAAACACAAGATGGCGGCTCAGAGAATCGCTCAGATAGATCGGATCTCGCCAGAGTGGTCATCTGCACTCAAGCAGACGCTTTTTCAGACGTTCAATGTGAGTAACGTATAATATTTTTTGGATATCAACAAGAAATTAGTAAGAAAATACTACACTTACGTTTGTTTATTTTAGCTTTCTTTTCTCGGCGCGAGGTGGCGCCTCGTCGTGCATAAGCCGTCCAGACATGTCCCATTTCTCGGACAGCATGGGCTCGGTCATGTCTTCTAAGCAGTCTGCGTAGACTGTCTACGATGCTGTCTAAGAATTGGAATAGAGCCAATATATTTCGCGAGTGCGTCTGAGTGAGCGCCACCTTTCGTTGGTGACCTATGGTCCTGTAGTGATCTTCAGCATTACTGTCAGAGTTATATGCACTCACGTTTTTACCTCGAATCTTTTCACAGATATCTCAACAATGCGCTACCTGATATCTGTTGATCCGAGGCGTGTGTTGGAGATGGGGGAGCACCGTAACCTTTTCCCGCAAAATCTTTCAGGGGAGTTTCTTGATAAAGATATGTCGTGCAAGTCACGTATTTCATAGAAATGTCCATACTGGACTGTAGCCAGTGATAACTTGTGGAGCTTCATATATGAAGGCGTATCGTAACAATTGCGCGAGTCGTTGTTAAAGAGCACGACACCAAGAGAGCACAAGGCTACTTTTGCGCTAACCTACTCATGAGTGGACTCAACCAAGCCCACTCGGAGTCACGTGAAGCAGTGAGTATCAGTCTCAGTGAGCCCGGCTCAGTAATATATCGATGAGTTTGAGTCCGAGTACAGCTGAGAAAAAGCACAGTGAGTCAGTTCGAGGGAGTCCAGTTGAGGAAAATATTGGCGAGTCTCAGTTTAAAAGAGTTCTCGGAGCAAACTATTTTTCTTGAACGAGTCTGAAGAAGCCTAGCTATTTAAATCTGTGGTCGTTGCTTGATTGTTAAGCCAGTTCAACGCCATTACATGTGCTCGGTGAAACTTAACTACTTCTTTGAATTAGGTTTTGCAGTGATTATAAATAATGACTCCTGCAATATCTTTAATTGTTTTTTTTTGGCATAAATGTTTGTATATGTGAAAATGAGTTTTACTTGTAAGTCGGCGCTAAGCAAGCAGGTAAAGGCTGTCTCCAGCCATTAAATCATTGGGCCAGATCTTTGCACAAGGCAACCCGTAACTCGTATGATTAAGCGCTTGCTTCAGTAGGCACGAGCACATATTGAAAAAAAAAAAGAAGAAACAGCATACCTTCTTCTAAAACGAAGGAAGAAAAGTATGTCTGATAGGCGCAGCAAGAGTAATTATTATGAGAGTGTACGACAGCAAGTTTGAATTCGACCATCTCTTCTTGCTCGCTGTTGTTTTCTTTTTTTACGTGAGCGCAATTTTCTTTTAAGGTTCTTCCGCAATACACTCTGTTCAAACTGGTCAAAATATAATAAAAACGACACAAAATCATTCTCACGTCTAGGACATCTTTCACGGTAGCCCTGCCTCTGTAGTCGACGGTTCCTGAGGCTATACCAAAGAACAAAACTACAACGACGCAGTGCATCTTGTACTGTGATCTTGAAAGAAGTATCACTGCCCAGATTGACTTTGTTATATACATGCTCACGTAATTATATTCGGCCGCATTGTTAATCCATACTTCTCGTTTTGTTCGCCACGATGGCGCAAGCTTATCACGCGACCTTCTATTGTGCTCACCAAGAGTTCAACGCTGCTTCATACATCAATATATCTGCAGGTCGTATATAGTATGTCAGGAGCCCTCATAATTTATTGTGGATGTGTTTACTTGAAATTCAAATCTGAATTGTATAGTCAGGTTTGACGAACGGCAACGTTCACACAAAGGAAGACGAACTAGGAGAGGTATAGAACCCCGGCTTTGACGTAACACGTTTTGTATCTCAATAGAATCTAATGAGCTGAAGTCTTGGCATTTAGCGCATGCAATAACACATATTTCTTCTTTGGCACTTCGTTAATGGTGCGCGAGATTCGCGTGGCTGTTAGCACACAGCGTGAGTGTAGCTTGAGAATGAGAGTAGTTCTAGATGGTATTTACATGCATTATAATTTATTATCAGACCTGAAAGTAGTAACATATAGGTAATTAATATTAGCGGTATAAGTGGTAGACCTGTGGTTAAGAGCGCGCTTTTAAATTTCCTAATTAATTTACACTTGTGGAAGCTGCATCGAGCGAGTCGTGCTAGAGATGAATATGTCATAATATATCATACTATAAGTGACAGTAAAGCTAACTAGTAAGTTTGAATAATTAAGTCATTTGTAAGAGAGTGCAATATTGATAAGTTAGTGCAGGCCTCAAAGTGAAGTGTAAAATAATAAATAATGTCATTTCACTGAGCTGTTACCGAAAACGCGACCTGGGGAAAGGTACAAAACTGCGGCGCTTTATATACAGTAGTAGGACGGCACTGGTACTTGAAAAAAAGCATTACATTGTAGTTTCGTTAACACAAAAATACTCCTCTGCTTTTAGTGGCAGCCTTAACATTCATGTGACGGCCTCCTTGAAGTGATTGTGAGCTCGAATAAGGCTGCCTAATGTATCGCTAACGATCATAGCAACCAGCCAACGCGAACACAGGAATATCAAATAGCTGTAAACTGTTTACGAGCAAAAAAAAATGAAAACTACGTGAAAACTTTATTTCAAACCTTTATGCAATCCTTTAAACCGTATGCAAACCTTTATGCAATGGTTCTCAAACGCACGCGTGGGCTTTCTATAATTTGGCGCCAACAAGTATTATTTAATCACGTGCATACTTTCGAAATCGCTACTCACTATACTCAATATGAAGCCGCGGCACGCAGCACTGGCGTAAACGGGCGGCTTTCTGCTCCCATAACACTGTGCGGTTTCAAGCGGTGGTACACGTAGCTTCAGGCTTAGCGTTGCTCACGCAAGAAACGGCGTTCACATATACTGTCAGGTTTCAGCTAAATACGTATAGATTGCGTTGTTGCGCAAAGGAAGAGAAAAATTTTGACTTACCGAGAAAGATAGCGACAGCGCAGAAACCACTTGACCCGACCATTTCAGAAACCGTTTTACTCGGCAGAAACCAGCAAGGATCGAAAAGCTCGAATGTGCGTAAAATAAAGAACCAGTTTAGAGAAGGGAAACTATAGCTTTGGCAACGGTGAGAAAGATAAGCAGCGGTAGCGCGTGGAACTAGCGAGGGCGCCAAGGAGATGGCACGGCGCAAAGAGGAAGCGGAAAGCAAAAATTATTGGGTTTTTTTTCTTCGTAGAAAAAAATTGCCGGCATTTTATTTTGCAGCAGCTGTGTATGCACGTACGCGGGTGCCTCGGCTGACTCTTTAATTTATGGCTATTCTTTTAAAGACGGTTGTCTTTCTTGGGGACCTTCGACGCAAAAATATTGTCTGTCTGTCCATTTGTCTGTTTGTCCACTCTTAACGGTACCGGGCATAACGGTACTGGGCATATTCCGAACGGCCGAAACCATCCGCAACACCCACCAATGTTGCTCAAGATTCAGCGTTCCACTTGTGCGATTGTTAATTAAAAAGCAATTATTGCGCATATCTGAGGCACTATAACAACACGTATATATTCTGTATGTGCGTCTTTTACTAGAAAAGGCATACATAAGTAACTATAAGGACAGTAGCGCTTATCACGCTGCGCTGACCATGCAACACTTGCACGGAAAGGCGAGTGTTTGCAACGCTTCGCTAAGACGACACGGTGGTGGACCCTACCCGTCGCCTTGCGTTCTGCACCTTATCACCTCTGAGCGGGTGCGCACGCCCGTCTCAGAGCCTCGCGTTTTCTTTTCTAAGATAACTGCCAGATAGCACTCATGTCTCACGTGTGACGTGATTTGGTGCGCTCGTTCGCCTCCGCTGCACACTCGACGCACTCTGACGCAGCGCTTCTAGAATACCATTCACCGATATTCTTGCCCAGAACATCAAATAAACGTTTTGTTCATTCTCCCCAGACGCAAGACTATCGTCTTTCGACGACATTTGCAGATTAGCATGCAGATCCGGGGCCAATTACTGAGACAAGAGGAGGGGGAAAAAGAGCGGGACTCGTGTATAGGCAACAACGACTAAATTTCAAGGCCGAAAGGCTGCCGCGTGACGTCGGAGGTTGGAGGCCCAGTTACCCAACTGAGCATGCTCAGTAAGACTTTTTTTTTCCACATATTTTATTCGGCCCAATCAAGCCGCAGCAGCTGCGAGAGCGGGAGCGTTGGTTCTCCTAAGACGCGAACGAAACACCGGCTTTCCGCCGCGTTCGCGGCGTAACTGGGCCTCCACCCTCTGACGTCACTGCGGCAGCCTTTCGGCCTTGAAATTTAGTCGGTGTTGGCGTTGGTATAGGGCTATGGGTGTCTCGTTATATTTCGTTTGCTTGTTTCAAGAGCGTCGACATGTTTACCAGCACGCCAAAGCGCCCTTCCGAACGCAGTACCTGTGCGTACAAAGGTTACATGAAACCAAAGGGTATACATTGCCAACTGGCACCAGAACAAGCAATTCACGAGTGAGAACGAAGAACAATACTTTTTATTGGCAGCAAGTCAGCGATGCCGTTCCAATGCAAAAAAGAGAGTTTATCGTAGTACAACCGTTATCAAGAGTTCGCAAACCGCACGCCTTCTCCTTCAGAGCCAAAACGTAGAAAAAAGCGTGTGTCACTTCAGTGTTGGCGCTATCATTACAAAACAGTCGTAAAACATCAGCAAAGGATACTTGCATAAAAGCTCTAAACTTCATCGGTCAAGCTGAGGACACAAGGAGGTGGGGGTTTTCGCCAGGGAATCACGTTCTCGTGAAAGAGATGCACAGGCATTTGAACACGTGCAGTATCAGTGTAAATGTAGTACGTGCGTGGCACAGTACTCACGGATTGAAATAGGACGCTTGGGATGTGTGTGGGAGGGGAAGTGATTTTAAATGAAAAGAAGAGAAAAGTGAGCCCCGTAACTGTCTCTCAAGGGGAGGACACCTAAACAGTAGCTCCCGAGGGGTGTGCTTTAGGAGGGATTAAAAGGATAGGATTAAAAGGTAAAGAGATAGAGAGAGAGGAAGGCGAGAGCGAGGCGCAGGGACAGCTAACGACGGAAGTAAGGAGAAGATAGGAAAGATGGACACGGTCGCAGGAGTCCGAGGACGGGGCACCACTCGGCGAGAGTTCTTGTCGGCGTCAAATGGCGTAGGGCGAGCCCAGTCAGCCAGAGCTGTGCTGTCGTCGGAGATCGCGGGGGCACAACCAGTCGGCACAAAGTCCAGCGAGGGAGTCGGAACGCGTGGCCGCCGATGCAGATAGCCCAGCTCGTGGGTGCTCGGGGAATTAAGGTGTCGCATTGTGGCATACAGTGAGTGGGAGAACACCTACAACGCAGCATTACTCCTTCCCGTCGCTTAAGAGTAGGCATTTAGTTCACAAAGAGCACGCAGCCAACGCGGCGCTGCTAGACCTGTGGCTGTTTCTTTTTTGCACTTTGAAGGAAAGCAGTACGCTGCATGCCGCCTCGACACGAACATCGTGACCCCCTGCTGAAACATTACCTGCAGTGACGTTCTTTTTTTAACTATATATGATAACTTTCCCTTCTGTGAACACTTATTTTGTGGGCTTATATAGCCCACAAACATTATAATCATAATCTTGAGTGCGGAATGAAATCACTCAAATTCACTAGGTGTTGAATTATTTTGGTGATATTTATGAAAACTATGGATGCGATATTTTGGGATACACATATATCTGTCGCTTTACTCATACATCGAACAAATCAAAAACTCCCTTTTGGTTTAATTTGCCACTAAGTAAAATACATATGAATGGCATCTTAATACTGCGCATATCACCTCAAAAATAATTGATTCTGGTGGCATTCCACACCAGCTAGTTTTATAAATGACAAATAGCTGCTATTTTTACTGGTTCTATGGGCAACAAATACGTCTCACCTATTACAGCTTATGAGTACGAGTACGCACCGATAGCTGTCGCCTATATGTACCAATACATATTTATTAGTCCATAGGGTACAAATAGTTGTCTCCTGTTGAACCCTAGTGGCGCCAATACGTCTCTGTTGGTTCTATAGGGGACAAATAGCTACAACCTATAGGCCCATTATTGGTTTTATCGGTGACAAATAGGTGTAGTCAATGGATTTTCATTGGTGTCAATGGAATTCTAATAGGACCAATAAGGTACCAATACAGCTCTTATAAAACGAATGAGAATGTTTATAAAACCAATACATTCCTCTTCTGGTATTTTTGCTAGGGGGGTTTCGGGTGAGCAGGAGAGACCGAGACTGGTTTCGTTGCCTACGAATGCCAAAGATCTCGAGGAAAGAGAGGAAGATAATGTTTGGTGGGCAAACGGTCGCCACGGCACTCGATCAGGCATTTGGGGCTTCAGGCCTCGTGTGCTAGGCCAGTTGCGCTATGTGGTTGCCACTGGGCCCACAGAGATGATGCAGCAATTTCGCACTGCTGGTGGCACCCTACGAGAATTAGGTATTACAAGCATCTGTGACGTGTCTTCTTCCAAGAATTAGAC